ATTCATGTCATTTCTTCTGCAGCTGAGAGTTTTCCTCTGAATCAATACTAAGCAGACTCAGAGGCTGAGATGGAGGAACAAAGCAGTGACACATTCATCCAGACTGCTGAAGTTCCTGTATGAGGTGATCAACTCTGAAATTCCAGGGAAAAAGGTTTGGCTTATTTTCACAAAAGCCCAAATATAATCTGACTGAACATGCAGACTGGAGGCTGCAGTCAGGATTTTCTCACACTGGTACATAGAGAGAGGTATCAAGAACACACCCGCGCATACAGCCTCTCACTTCATCCAACTTCTTGTATCATGCAGTATTCTCGTCTTTTTATTGTTTAATTTGCTGTGATTTAGGGTCTGTGTCCGCAGGCAGAGGTTTTTGCACAGGAAGTGATCAGCCTCACATCTATTTGTCACAAAATAGCCCAAACCTTTCTCCCCTGAGGAGAAACGCTGTCATCCCTGAGCTTCGCTGAGGTTTTTTATAAAACATAGATACAAAAACCCCACAGACTCTTATTCACTTAGATAATGTTTGAAATTTTAAAAGTCTTTTTCAGAACAAAACTGGAGTTTTGCACATTGTTTGCTCCTCATCGTCTTTTGAAAAGCAAGTAGATGCTCTTTCATCTATGCGTTTGCCACATCCCATTAAATGCTGCTGGTGTCTCAGTTGTGCACAAGGTGTCCTTTGGTGTCAGTACCTTGGCATACAGCCTGAGTGAAACTGGACATAATACAGATGTAACACAGACACATAAGTACTCTTTGAAAGCAAATATTTATCTTTAGATCTATTGAATTTTATTTATATAGCCCCAGTTATTGGTCAATAACATTTGTCTCGAGGCACTTTATATAAGAGGTAGCGACCTTACAATATTAATGTAGGACACAGGTTCATTGGACTCACTGGTGAAGTGAACGCAGGTCAGTTTCTGGAAACACACTGAGCCACTTGAATGTTTGTATATGAACTCATTTAAGTGAGGAAGAACTGATTTCAGGAAAATAGAGATGTTCAGATCGTAAACATTGTGAGGCTTTTGTTCATGTATTAGCTGTTTAGATGTTTTATCACACAAAAAACATTTACATTAGTCTAGAGATGAATGTCGTCATTATATTTTAGTAAATATATTCAGAGGTGAAGAAAATAAACTGCAGTGGTTAGCACATTTGCATTAGCCGGTTCGATTCCAATCAGAGACACAAATCTCCTTCGGAGGTTGCTGCAGCTGAAACTAGCTTTCCATGAGTCTGCTTGGTTTCCCCTCTTTTATTCTTTTTACAACATTTGTACCCCTTAAAGTGTAAACTCAGATATTTTCTGTAGAATGGAAGAAATCGGCCGCCTGTGCCGTCATGACATTGAAACCGGTTTGGAGAAGAAGTGAAGTAATATCGGCCGTGTATCACTTTTCTTTAGGACGTTAAAGACACGGCTAAGATTCCACAAAAACAGCAGCTTGTTTCGATGTAAATTCTTCACAACGCCTCATCAGAAACTCTCAGTACGGTTATGCATTAAAGTAAACAGACACATGTCAGTCCCTCTGAGCCGTTCCCTCTGTTATCACCGTTGCTTAAGACCGAGATGGTGTTGCAGCGCACGGTGGCCAGCGCTGACTCACCTGGTGGAATAACACACAAACACCAGCCCCCCGTTCTCCACTCACTCAACTCCTTCCCCTCCCACTGAGTTCACCCTGCCCTGCAGTTCAAAGAGGTTCTGCCTGTCTAGCCTTGGCGTTTAATGTTTAAGTATTGGGAGCGGCAGGAGAGTGCAAATAAAATGCCTTTACAGACTCCGGGGCACGCTGAGGGTTGTGATTCTAGATACTGTATTGTGAAATTTCCATTGTACTTGACAGATTAGCTCCAAGTCACCTGATTCTGTTCAGCCGAATTCTGACTCTTTACCTCTGCTTAATGCTTGATGCGTGCGGCTTAGATAAACCATTTAGAGGAAGATTATTCAAACTTTGTGGCTCTAACAAAAGAGTACACATGCTCATAGGATAGATGGCAACGTGTCCGTGCTATAAACTGTTTGCCAAAAGTTCAAAACAGGATAAAGGGTTGAATGCGGACTCCACCTGCGAGGAGAAACCACAAAGAGTTGCGGTGGGGCTGTCTTTCTGTTGGCCTGGGAGAAAGGAAACCCTATTTGCAGCAACGGAAAACAAGACAGAAAGCCTGACACTGCTTATATGTTTGTGCGTGATTATTCTCTAGTCCTAATCCGTCTAACAATGTTACAAAACATTCAGACAGGAGGAGGCTTTAAAGCAGTAATTGGGGGGACTTACACTGGTTAAACTCCACTCAACCACTTCTAGTTGCATCTCGCTTGTGCTTGATCGAGACGGTGGCAGATGAAATCAAATGTGGGTGTGGATTTAGTCTGATTCTAAGCACATCTTTTTGATTCCTTTGAATGTCAGACACAAGAGGGAGCCTTCTAAAGAAAGGCAGCGCAACGCAGCAGATGAGGACGATGCGATGGACCAGGTAGAGGGTTCCATAAGTGCGTTTGCACATTTTGGACGGTAAAGTGTTAGATGGGACACACAACGAACCAGAAACTGATGACTCATCGGCCGTTTTTCACGCCTCATACTGGATTAGCCATCACATGCAACAGGCTTCTTAATAATTGTGTAATGCCCTCAATCCCTCCAGAATTATTTCAGAGAGCTGGCCTTTGCTTTTCTGCACCACCCTCATATGCAAATCCACTGTAAATAAAAGAGTAACATAATGTGACATAATGGCACAAATCTGGGATCTTAGAAGGTGTTTGTTTTAAGACGTCTGATCAAGGCAAATGCTCAAATAAAAGTTCACACGCCAAATAGATGCAGATACTTTAATTGTCTAAACTGTGTGCAGTGATTTACTTTGCCTTTAGTTGCAAACTCCACCCATCTGGCACCGAATTAGGCCAAAACCAAACAATGAAGTGTAATGTTTGCAAATACTATTTGCCCCAGGTCTGACTGAGAGATGCTTGGTTTCCTCTGCGGTAGAAACTCAAGTTCAATCCCAACAGCAAACCTTGGTTTTTAGAAAGCACAATTCATTTTCATTCAACATCTTTTTTTTCTTTTGTTAGTTTATAGGTTGTTGCTTTAATAATTGTGTTAGTGTGAGCATTAATATAAGTATTATTACTCTTTTTCAGGAGGACTGAGACCTCTGAGGACTCTTTCTACCTCTGCTTCACCTCCCTGTGGGTTTGAGGCGTTTGTGTGGCATGCCAGGTTTTATCCCAGAGCTGTGACACCTGACCTGGGGCTAAACAGTGCCTCTGGTGTCCCTCAGGGCACCACAAGTGCTGTCAGCTTTGTGTTTGAATACATCTGCAGACGTCGGCGCTGAAATGTGACTAAGGAAGACATCTTAAGAATCTCAATCTATGCAGCAAAAACTGAGTGGTGGTAGTGATTTGCAGACTGAAAGCTGGTAGTGGAGTATCTTACTCTGGGTTATACAGCAGTGTGCCAACCATCTTTTGGCTAAGAGCTGATGATCGTGGTCTCAGTGACCAGCAGTTGGTCTCACCTGCCCAAGCTGCTTTGCCACAAGCCTGGCACTGACTAAACAACACCAGACTGGAGGTCAGCCAGAGCGAGGTCTAATGAGAGAGAAGCCACACCAAAGACTGGCATATCTGTCCTCACTTCAGAGCACCTGTGCCACAGTGTCTGTGTGATGAGAGCCAAAGTTGCCTCAGAACAGCCCGTCTTCCTCTAATTACTCGTTGTTATCACACAAATAATTGTCCTTCCTGAATTATTTTAGATGTCTGTTTTGTCTGGACCTTGAATTTGAATACAGTGGTGTCTCATGGTACAATACAGCCTTAATCAACAACAGTAAAATATTTCTTCATTGGCCTTTAATTATAGGAATGAGACTATGAGAATGTTGAGTTGGTGATTGAAATAAAATCTATTTTAATACTCGAGAAAAGTCATAATTTCTTTCCTTTCGGAAAGTTAGTTTTTCAAAACTATGAATCTGTGAGTAAAGTAGGTTTTGACTGTGTAGGAGAGAATATTGTTGCTACCCACTATCAGTATATTTTACGCACTAAATAGGTTCTTCCCCATAAAAAGTGGCTTTTTAAAACTTTTTTTTAACGCTTTCTAAAGCCTCGTCTACTATTGTGCTGTAAGTCTGTCCCGCTCCCATCCTCATTTTTAAGGACTCTGCTTCATTTTCTGAATCTGAGTTCCAGAAACCTGCGTGAAAATAAGATGAATGTGTTGAAAAATAGTCACATGGAATGATATTTTGGAGAATAAAATGCATTTTTACGCATAAACTAAAGTAGGAAACAAGAGCGCGCAGAGGGCACTGATGTTACTCCAACTTTTGCTTTTTAGATCTGATGAAATCTCCATAATATTAGTCCAAAAAGTACATTACAGCACCATGTTTTGTCAGATTTATTGTGCCTTTGAACCATCAATAAGTTAAGAAGTGACCTTAGAGCAAATTTCGTGCGTACATTCGCGTTGGCACGCTGTTGTTGTTGAAAGGGACGCGAAGTTAGAGGCAAATTTCAATCTAATCTAATCTAATGAAATCTCTTATCTCACTGCACTGTAAGCAAACTATTCCATACTATTCGTGCGTTTATTCTGGTGGATATGGGGTGTCACAGCCAACTCATGCAGCCTTTGCGCACTGCACGTCCATGAGCAGTTTTATTCTCCTGGGAAACGCATTCTGCGCTCAAAGTTGTCCCACACAAATCAATTCACCAAACTACACTGCTTCAGATTTGAGAACCACTGTTCAAGTTCCCCTGTCTGTGCTTCACTTACTGTGAAACACTGGAAAACGGGAGGGTGGAAAAAAAAGACAGTTTATAATTGATGTTTTCCCATGGAGCAGCCCCTCCTCCTCGAAACAGAGGCTAACCCTCAGGTGGAAGAAATCTTTTAAGATTTTTGTGGGATAACATCAGGAGGGGTAGTCGACGCCAATGAAGTCCCTCCCCTATAGATCGGTGCTATAATACAAAGCAGTAAAAGCGGTAGGCACACACACAAGCGGCAGCAGCTCGACTAGAGATCCCGTGGCTTTTAATTCCCTCACTACTTTTTTTTAAACCCTCCTTCGATTTGCCCCGTTATTACCATTTATCCGAGGCGTTCATTTCCGCACCTGCCACACAGAGACCAAGCTAAGGCGAAGTAGAAGAGGAGACAAGGACACTGCGAGAGCCGGGAGAGGCAGACTGTAGAGATAGCAGCGGTGACCCGTTTGAGATCTTAAAGGACAAAAAAAAAAAAAAAAAAAAAAAAAAAAATGCTGCTCTGGACCAAAATCGCGTTGGTCGGTCTCATCTGCTTGTCCTTGGTATCCTCTGGGATGGGATGCGGACCGGGCAGGGGCTACGGCAGGAGAAGACATCCGAAGAAGCTGACACCTCTTGCGTACAAGCAGTTCATCCCCAACGTCGCGGAGAAGACCCTCGGGGCAAGCGGTAAATACGAAGGCAAGATCACAAGAAACTCCGAGCGATTTAAAGAACTGACTCCCAATTATAACACAGACATCATATTCAAGGATGAGGAGAACACCGGTGCTGACAGGCTAATGACTCAGGTAAGGAGACGGAATAACCTTTTATTTTAATTTTATTGTGATTTTTATTTTTTTGCCCCCACTGTCCATTTCCTAACGCACCATCACTGCGTACTGCAACAACTCCCTTGTCAGACTGATTGCGCACCTTAAGTGAAGTCTGTTTTACCCGCTGCTGAACTCTTCACACTGAGCCTTTTAACTTCACTGCAAAGGCAGATGCGCTTTATACACCAGCATGGGAGTTTCCAAAGGCTGCAGGCTTGAAGCGAATATAGAAATCCAGCTGGATAAGTGATGTGCAGGCGGACAGTCAGGACACTCGGCTTTCATGATTGTGACAGTGTATTTAAAATATTAATGTGCCCCTCTCCTCATATCTATATTTGTATCTATGGGAGGCTCGTTTTGTTGCCTTACAGGGGCACGTCCATGTTAGATTTCATGCAGACTTTCTGTGTTTGCTGCCTATTTCGGCTTTACGTTGCAGCTTGTTTAAGCGCCTTTTCTTTACCCCAGCCCTGGGGATGCGCATCGCTTTAACAGTCGGGCTTACTGAGGCATGGCGTAGCTCATTCAGACGTTTCCTTGCACAGCCTTCTGTAATTTAGCCTTTCGCGTGGCGTGCATCTGTGCATGAAAACTGACATTTCTTTGAGAGTGTCCAGGCCTTGGTAAATGGGTGGGACTCGGCCAATTACACGAGCAAGGCGCACAGGAGTGCTGGTGTGTTTTACAATACACCTGCACGAAGGATGGCGTCTGTTTTAAATATCTCATCCTCTTGCAGCCAGTCAATTTAAAACCTTATACCCGGTTCAGTGCAGCTAAGAAGAGGCTCACATACATCGGAGACATGCCTTGATTTCTCTCCAGGCTGCAGGATGTCGCGTCTCTTCGGCATGACTTTTAGCACTTAGATGCTGGTGAATTATTAAAAAGCTCTTGGGTGATATTGGCTCAGTAATAATAAAATGAAGGTGGTGATGGTGGTGCTGCTGGTGGTGATGAAGCAAGGCGCGCGCCGGTGTCCCTGAACCCGTGCCTAGCACCACGCATGAGGGCGAGCTCCAATAAAATATTCACAGTGCGTGCGTCGCTCAGCCCTCCCCACATCTCCTCTGCTATACACCTATAGGTTTTCATACGCAGGGATCGTGAAATTACAGTAGTGTGAGGATGTGATTACCAAGGCGAGGGGTTAGAGACCTAAACGGATTCTCCGTGGGGGTTTCCAGGTCTCTAGCAGGAACATAGTTTAATTTAACCATTATTTCGAGAATCTTTGAACTAAAGAAGCACCTGTCTTAATCCAAGCTTTTACTCTGAGTAAAAAGACCCGCATGCCTATAAGGATTTGCTTTTGCAGGTCAGCATCAAAACGAACAACGGTGGGAGGTGGAAGAGCTGATAAATTGTGATTACATGTGGCACCATACGCTTGTGCAGCGTGGCCTGTTGGGGGTTTCTTTTTGTTTGTTGGATTTATTTGGGTTTGTTCGTGATCCATTTCCCACTTGACTGTTTACAGAAAACACGGCGACCGACTCTAAGTGTGAAAATGTACACGAAAGAACTTTTAGGCGCCCCTCGCCGGGGCTTGAAACACAGTTTGAACTTAGAACCTTTGGTCAGCGGGAGGCCACAGTAAGTTAAAACAGGTGTGATTATCCTTTTTATATATGACACTGTAAAGCCACCAGATTGAAGCATGTGCACCCAAAGGAGAGTAAGTGTAGCTGCAAGCAACATAAGCATTATCACATGAGGATTTACGCCGTGCCAAGGCTTTATGCATGAATCCAGAGGGTTTTTACGCACGGAGTTTTACGCATGAATGCCTTGAACTTCTTTCGTTATCTCGCGGTTTAGAAAATAGGTGTTGTATTCATAAATGAAACAAGGCACGTGTCTAGAGTAGCCCCGTTAGATATGTGCAATAAATGAATTAATCAGTCAATCAGTTTAGTGAGGTCTTGCCAAGATTATACACTCGAAGAAGCGCTTGAACAAGCACTCCTAACTAGTTTGACACAGCGCACTCCCAGAGAGCTGCCAACAAATACGCTTTAGAGACATTTACGAATAGATACACGAAGTGACGGGTCCTGACTTGATTAGGACCATCACCCGTTATTCCACGGCTTTTAGACTTATGCTCACCTGTCGCTGACCCTCGTGAATTCAACTTGTGTTAAGTGACATTCTACGCAGAAAAGTGGGACAAAATAAGACTCCAAAGGGATTTTTAAGGCAATAAAATGACTTAAAATTAAACAACAACAACTTTGATTTGCCCTCTTTAAACAAGTAAAACTGTAAGCCACATGTCAGGGGTTACTTTTTTTTACATTAGACCCAGTGCCAGACTTTTCATCTATTCTTCTCCCCCTCCAAGCGTAACAGTGTTAAGAGCCTGCAGTGCAAACGAGTTGGAAACGAGATGAGCTGGCGGCTTGTTTGCACTGACAGGTAGCTGATAAGTGTTTCCTCTAACCAAATCATTTGTGAAAAGATTAAGAGGCAGGCTGTTGAACAACTTTACCCCGAGCACAAAGCGCCGGTCCAAGGCGCCCTGCTGGGCTTCATGGTGGTTGAGCAGAATTTGGCTTGATTTGCGGCACACGACCTAATGAATTAATAAATAGGTTAAGCTTTACGGCTCTTGACTCCGACAGTCTCTCTCAGTATGCAGAAGGGTTTTTTAAGGAGGGTTTTTTTTTTAATTCAACACATTCTACAAGTGTGATATGCTCATAAAACAGCGACTGATATATATGACTTTGTTTTCTGTTATGCGAGCGGGTAGATTTGTGTGAACAATCCCCGATTGAAGACCTCAGACTGTCCCAACCGTGGCGTGGGGGTGGGAGGGCAGTGGGCTCTTCTTTGCCCCCAGTGCAATCCTGGGATATTTCACAAGTCTGTTAGTCAGCAGCCAAAACACCTCGACTTAAGAAGGCATGTCACGTTTCCAAGACTTTGCAGGAGAAGAGTAATGAAAGTTTCCCTCCGCCGCTGGACTGAAAAGACTCTTTGTGATGTTTTATTTGACATATTGGTTCGGCGTCCAGAATAGTTGTCTTGGAGAAGGCCAGGCATCTTCATTTAGAGCGCGGAGAGCTTAGGGTTCAACCAACTCCAGATATTTTAAGGAGGCAGCTGCTCTTGAAGATCATCTTCATATCATCTGGACATCAATTATTAATTTAAAGAAAACAAGCAACTGACAAACGACTCCCTCATTCATCGCCTAATGCAGACTCGTGAATTCATACTGTATTAATGTTGTCTTTAATGCAACACTTCTGGATAGAAAAGGGTCACTGCTCGCACCTCTCCAAGACCAAAGACCCATATGTTATAGGCCAGTGAAGCGAATGCAGTGCCTTATCAATATTTCATCAGCAGCTTTCTTACCCGAGATGTGCCCTCTGACGCTGCTGCTAACACTGAGAAATGCAAGCTCAGGATCAGAGACGCAGTTCAGCTCCAGTGTTTCACCTCAGCTGGGAGGAAACAGGGGAGTCAGGTGGGTGGGGGGATGGAGTTGTGCGAGAGGCCTCAGTTGGTCCAGTTTTAATCTTTAATTGATATTAACCCTTGTGTGGTGTTCATGCTTTTGTTACTCGGGCAACATTGGCGGATCTGGTTTAACAGATGTTTACTTTTCTCTGTTCTAAGCAATAAAATCCACACATATGGTCAATATGTGGAATTTGCCTCCGTCAGAGCGTGTTTATGAACTAAAGCGCTGCTCGTTTTTGTGAGAAAATATAATAAATATCTAAATATAAAAAAGTTGTTAATCATATGAGCCTATGTAACTCAACCTCGTTAAACAAACAGCCTGTTTGCATCAGCTTCTACACAACACATGGGGGGCACTTTTGCTGTGTGTGCACATGTGTTTCTTGCCCACAAACATTTCACCTCTTCTTTTTGTTGCTACTGGATCTAGAATAGATCGGGGAATGTCTCCTGATCGGTAATGAAAAGTCCAGCCAGTGTGTTGGTCCTGGCTGGACCACGTTGCCACATTGCCACGTGGGATGCTTCATTCCTTGGACGAGAAGGCCATTTAGTTTCACTTTTTCGCCACCTTGCTGTCTGCTGATGAGCTTCTCTTCACCCTCCTGTCTGCACTGTCCTCCCAATAAAGGCAAAAGTCCTCATGTACTAAAATCTCATCGTGTTCCAAATCCTCTCTTTCTCGACTAAAATCATAGATATAGATCGATAAGGAGCCTCCCTAGCAAAGCTGCTTATTAGTTGTGTTCCTCTGCGATTTGTAGTTGGGACAAAGGGTATAATGTGCGGGGATGAGGGAGCAGACAGGTGCAGGTTTAACAAAGTTGGAACTTTGTGCGGAAATAGCAAGAGCAGACAGAAAGAAAGAAAGAAAAAACAAGCGCGCACAGCAACAGCAGGTCATGCAGGACGAGGAGGAGAGAGTGAAGTGACACCAGCACGACCCCACTTCTATGACCACATGAGTGTGGGGGCTACAGTGTGATGCTTTATATGTTCTTCGCAGAAAATGAACCGGAATCTGAGGTGGAAATGATGATAAAGCACACAGTTCTTTTGGCACAAAGGGTAATTGCTGAAATGTAATAAATCTGTCGGAAGGCTGATTAGGTGATCTAATATTTTATTTCTCTGACCGCTTATCAGCCCTTATTTCTCTCGTCAGCTAAGCTGTGTCAGTGCAACGCGTGATTTGAGTGATTTTCACTTCATAAAAGCTGATATTTGCGCACTGTGGTGGTGTTTCGGGCAGTTCCGGTGATGCATGGATTCATTTCTTGTTCCCACAGAGATGTAAAGACAAACTGAACTCGCTAGCCATCTCCGTGATGAACCAGTGGCCCGGAGTGAAGCTGCGGGTCACCGAGGGCTGGGACGAGGACGGACACCATTTAGAAGACTCTCTTCACTACGAGGGCAGAGCCGTGGACATCACCACTTCAGACAGAGACAAGAGCAAATACGGCACTCTGTCCAGGCTGGCGGTGGAAGCTGGATTTGACTGGGTCTACTATGAATCTAAGGCCCACATCCACTGCTCCGTGAAAGCAGGTATGGCTCCAAAGTAAAAAGAAAAACAGAACTGCGCTGATAATCTGCCATGCGCACCACTGGCTGTAGGACAACGGCGCGCATTTCCCATCAGGCGTGATTGCAATCGTTTGTAACAACAGGTGCAGCTCAGGGAAGCAGCAGTCCTGTTTTATCTTCTGGAAAAGTTTCACCCAAGACTAGATTGTATCAGCTGATTGTGATGGGAAAGTAAAATAGAGTCACAATAACACTTATCATGGGCTTACTGATCTGATGGTTATTGTAGACAAGTGTGACCACTGATCAATTCAATGATTTCAGTGATTAATCACAGAATCCTAGTGTTTGAGGGGTCATTTAAGTGCAGAGGTCAGATGTTTCAGATCTTTTCATTTGTTTTAACTGGATAGTTTTTATGAAACTGTAAATAGTCATTTCTCTGAGTGATGTATAGGCATTTCCCGGTTAAAGGCGTTATAAGCGTTTCTCGTTGCAGCTTATTTCTTGATCTTACACCGCCCCACACTGTCTCCTGGTGGGAACCGCTACCATAGTCTAACGAGGGTACTCGGCGTGACCTAGAAATAGCACATTTTTCTCGCTCTCTGATAAAAATAAGTGCTGCAAGGTGAATTTGGTAATCGTTTTTAATTATATGTGAGAAAATCATAAAAATTTTCATTTCCGTTTGTTTGTTTGGTTTTTTGGGGTTTATCGAGGCTCATAATCGACCTAGGTCGTCACTACTGGACACCTATGACGCCCAGAAAATATTTCCTCACTTTGACTGATGAACCATGGTGCTTTTTCCTTCTTTTTTTTTTTAAATTGATAAATCCCTTACTTATCATTCAGCACACACGTTTTGAGATCACAGTATGAGCTAGGCCGACGTGTCATTGGAGGTCATGCGACTTTACCAAAAGGATTTGGCTGAACAATGTTGAATTGGTTTGGGGTAAATCTGGTTTTCAGTTGTCACCTTATTTCATGCTCGGGAATCTTAAAAGAAGATTAAAAGCCCCAAATTCTGAGTAGGAAACCCTTTTTTCTCCCTCTGTGCAGGACAGTGTGATCCTAGAGACTGGTATGTGAAGAGTTCCACCAAGGCCAAAATTATTGTCATCAAGACTGACAACAAAGCAGGGAGAGGTGGTAGACAGGGAGAGGGGGGACATTGATGTTGCACAACAGAAAGCATTTAAGAGTCCGGGCCCTCATTTAAATTCAAATCTACAACTCGAGAGGCTTGGAAAAGTGGCTCCACTGGGTAAATAGTAGTTGTGAGTCGCCTATTTGTGTGAATTGTCACATAGAGGTTTCTGCACCTGAGTAAATATGGGAAGAGTAGCTGGGAAAGGCGTAAGTGTTCTTTACGGAGAGTAGCTCGATCCACAAGTTGATTTAGAATAACAATGCCTGCTCTTCATTGGGGTTTTTAATTAAGAATAGATGAGCCAGGGCTTTCAGTTTTCCCGTCTCAGACAACGTGGGCTAAGCTAATACGCATCTGGCATCAAGGAGCCGACATCATTATGCAAAATGCATATGGCCCACCGTGTTGTGTAGAGGCAGAAAAAATACAGATAAAGGTGGATTTTTCAGTCAATTTGAATTATTATGAATGGGCCTTTGAATGAGTTCTGGGCTGGAAATGTTCAAAGCGCATGTGATGTTTGTTTGCACGCGTTAAAAATTATTAATAAAAGTCTCGCAGTGAGAAAAACGACTTAATGTTTTTCTTGTTTCTTCTAACAGAAAATTCAGTGGCAGCAAAGTCAGGCGGCTGCTTCCCCGGATCCTCCACGGTCACTCTTCAGGATGGCACCAAGAAAGCAGTCAAAGATCTCAAAAGCGGCGACAGGGTCATGACAGCAGATGACGACGGAAATGTAATTTACACCGACTTCGTCATGTTTATAGACCGAGATTCGATGCTGAGGAGGATCTTCTATGTGATCGAAACCGACTCAGGCCAGAAAATAACCCTCACCGCCGCGCATCTCGTCTTCGTCAGCCGCAACAGCTCCAGCGAGGCGGAGAAGCGGATGTCTGCGATTTTCGCCAGTCAAGTCCAGCCTGGACAGAAAGTGTTCGTCTTTGACGCAGAGCGAAGTCGACTCGAGTCTGTGACCGTCAAACGGATTTACACGCAAAGTCACGAGGGTTCCTTTGCGCCCGTGACCTCACAGGGGACCATCGTGGTGGACCAGGTCCTTGCGTCCTGTTACGCAGTGATCGAAGACCACGACTTGGCACACTGGGCCCTGGCACCCGTCAGGCTCGCCCACTGGGTGTCCTCGTTCCTATTTAGCTCCCAGCCTCCAAGCAGTGTACAAAACGAAGGAGTGCACTGGTACTCCAAAATCCTTTATCAATTAGGGACATGGCTCTTGGACAGCCACTCGATCCATCCACTTGGAATGTCGGTATACCCAAGTTGAAACAGCTGCGACAGGAGCAGAACGAGACTTTAAATGTAGGACACACGAACTATACAGTAGATTAAAAATAATAATAATAATAATAATTAAAAAAGAGAAAGAGAGAAAGAAAAAAAGCGAACTGACAGACAGACGTGACATGACAAGGGCCCCAGCGGAGTTGGGATATTTATTTCAGTGACTTTTCCATGATGTGTCCCCCTTTCAAAGAATGAATGGAGCCTTAAAAAGTTTCTCTTTGAATAATTTATTCTCATGTGAACTCTGCTGCTGTCACATAAATGGATTCTGAAACTGTGTGAGCAGCAAATTGTGCATAATCTATTTTTGTAAATATCAAATGCAAAAAAAAAGAAAAATGAAGAAAAAAATTGAAAAATGGGAAAAAAAAAATCGGAAACAGAAAGAAGATCATGTAAAACGGAGCTGACTTTGACAGGCTGTACGTTTCATATATATGTATATATGTATGTATGTGTATATATATATATATATATATATATATATATATATATATATATATATATATATATATATATGTGTGTGTGTGTGTGTGTGTGTGTGTGTGTGTGTGTGTGTGTGTGTGTATGTGTGTATACATACATACATACATATATACATGTATATGAAACTTACAGCCTGTCAAAGTATAATAATCAGCTGTATAACAATCAGCTGACTGTTATATTTTGGGGAGAGAGGAAAAAAAAACCCTTGCGGGGTTCCATAAATTATATTTTTATACACAGAATTGTAAATTAGATTTTGACAGATCGCTACCGAATCACATTTCGTTATTTGAAATAGTGTAAGATATGAAAATATATTTTAATTTAAATACAGTAGCTGGGAAAGTGTTGGAAAATCTTGTACCGCTTGGTTTATTAAGAATTTTATTATTTTGTAAACTGTTCGTTTCAGTTGTTGGAGAGGGACAGATATTCTGCCCCATGTCTGCATTCTCTGCTTTTTTATGTGTATGTGTTTCTTTTCTGTTTTCTTTTGAGAAAAAATAATATCAAATGCAGATTCTGACAATTCAGTAACAGTTAAAGTAGTACTGAAACCGTTTCGTTAAATAAATTAATAAGTAACTCCTGTAAATGTACTAAAATCTTATTTTTCTTTTCATATTTTGTAATAGGGAAATAGTTTTATAGAAATGAACTGCAGGCTGATGCACAGTTTGAATAGACTATATATAGGCAGACCTACCAGTTAACTTTCATAACAGGGCGATGTGTCAAAAAATGTCTAGAATTTATTATTTATATGTTTATTATAAAATGAGATAAAGAACATTTTCAAACTTGGAGTTGTTATATGTCTTTTTCAAAAAACAGTGCCAGAGGAACCACACAGTAGTGGGAAGGACGGGGGCTTTTTGGCCATATTATTTGGACATTTACAACCAAATTATAATCTGGACTCAGTCAAGAGATATATCAATTGGCTTGGTTCACGCCCGCCCCTCGCCAAAAGAATCCCCACAGCCTATTGGATGTCTTACGCACAAAAAACCGGGGAGAATATTGCGCTTTGATCTACCTTTTGCATGCTTGCGAAATGTTGAAAGCCTATGTCAAATTTAACGAGGTCTGCCCTCCGCAAATAACTTCCAACGCGCAGACAAATTAAACAGAAGCGTCTTTGTTGGCCACAGGTCTGCCTCTCGGCGTCTGCTGGTTCAGGTCAGATCGCTCCATCCGACAGTAACTGACAGTCGGGGCTCATTATAAAGAAACGCTGCAGTCCCACTAGTCCACATTACAGCTTTGTTAGTCTTAACAAATCACTATAATCCTGCAGTATTTTCATAGACTTATAGTGCGCATGCAGCACTTAATAGTGAGCTCTCAGAGATGCGTTTTTGTCCTCTAGTGGAGCGCTTTGGCATCGGGCGGCACATCTTCTCAAATCGATTACAGCATTAGCTTCTTTGGAGATATCATCTTCAGTGATAGGGCGACACCTTGTGGTTAAATTAGACAATTGGACGTAATATTCTGCAGCTGGGTGTAAATACTTAACGTAAAACCTGAATGAAGTTCTGGAAAAGGGATTTTTATATAACCAACTCTAGTCAAAGTGTTTGTAAAGCTGGAAGCAAAATCATACAGTCAAGCAGAAGAACAAAAGCAGTTCTGAAAATGTGAGACTATAAATTCAAATTTAAAAAAAAGAAGAAAAGCCCATGCACACAAAAAAAGATAAATGTTGGTGAATCACTCAGACCCATCAAAGGTAAAAGGGGCCTCTGAACCTGGGTTTCTGAACACTGTTGCAACATGAGCAGGAATTCCATTTTCGTCTCCCGCATTGTGTTGTGCTGTTGATATTGTGAGGTGGAAACTTCAGGGAGGGACAAAGCGGCCCATCTCTCCCGGCACTGTGACCTTGGGTCCCTGTCAGATACAAAAGCGTCGGTGCAGGGCAGCATTCCTCAGAGCAGGTAAACAGAGCCTCCTCTAATCCCTCTGGGGGCCCTCAGTCTGCTGGAGCTCAACGACGGCTTTTACAAATGTTGACATTTGCAAACATGAACAGTCTGGCATTCTGCAAAAACAAAACTCCCCCGTTTCTAAGAGAGTTCTGCAAACGACAGAGCTCGTCCTCTCTGCAGGCAGCTTTTGCTTCGCGGCAGCAGCCTGCAGAGTGCTCAATGTGGAAGTGGCAAGTTAGAGGGAAGCAGAAATCCACAAGGCCTTAATTGAGAGATGTCCCTTTATTCCTACTAACGTAGTATTAATAGAGCAAAGAAGAAAGCAGAACTTTTTGTGACAGGCCAGCATGGATAGATGGATGGATACAGGCCTGCAGAGATGGGAGAGTATGCACCCATTACTTTGGTTAAAAATGGCAATTGTGGTTTTCCAACTAAACTATTTAATTTGAATAAACTGATACTGGTTTATGGTTTAAGGTGAACACACCACAACAAGTTTTCCACTTCAGAATCACAGCTACATAGTTACACCTTTTGGCCCCTTTTTCTACACTCTGTACTCTGATATTTGGCCGAGCTGAGCAGCATCAAGTTTCTGATTGTTCGAGGAACACAAAATCCACCCAGAGTGATGCTGCCTGTATTAAAACCCTGAACTTTGCTGCAAGGTAACAGTGCTAAGCATTCGTCCCTCATACTTATAGAAAGCATACCCTACCAGTAACAAGGGTTTACAAATGAGCACTACTTAACTTTAAGACAAGTAAGAGTACAAAATAGTTCTTTAGCTGGGACTCATTCTGCTTCATCTATTTCTACTCAAAGTTACACAAGGCTAAATGACAGAAAGGTCACCAAGAAGTTTATTTCACACCTGTTTCTGGTATCAAATGTGACATTTTCAATTTACATAAAATACTGAATATCTTGAATCATTTTCAAAATATAAGACATAAAGAACAGACCAAATGCAGTTGTTGTTGTGGTTTTTTTAATAATCCAGCAGACAACACGATCCCTTCTTCTGACTCGTGTGATCGGGATGAAAACACACCAATCAATCATTATTTGTAGCGTCAAACCATCCGAGATGATGGCACCAGGTTAAAAAATAAATAAATAAAATATTTAACAGCGATGAAGCTGGAAGGAGCTTCTGGTGAAGTGAAAGCCGTGAAGCAACTTGCTTTAGAGTTATGTGTCTCCTCAGTGAACCCGGCTGTCGTCAGATGGAAACCTCCATCCACTGGACTAGCAAACAGTGGTAATCCAGGCAGGCCCCCCTGCTCCTGCTTGGTACAGAAGTCTTAAGTTCAGAGAACAGATGAGATATGTTCGAATGCACGTACAGCAAGTTGGAACAACAGCAATGACTGGAAAAGCAGAATATTCTCTGGAAGAGAAGGCTGTGGCTCAGGAGGTAGAGCGGGTCGTCCACCAATCAAAAGGTCGGCTAATAGATTCTTCTGCTACTCCAGTCTGCACTCTGTCCCCTAGATGGCTCTTAAAGCATAAATAGCTCTGTGACTTCTTCAAATGTAATAAAACACAGATATTACATGCATTACGTGAGAAGCCTTTAAACCAAGATTATCAACCTCATTTTACGTTGTGGGCCACATGCAACCCACTTTGATCTTAAGTGGGCCGGACAGGTGAAACCCCCTTTTTGTCAGTGTAAAGTTTTCCTACACATCTCAAAATGCAGAGATAGCTTAATTCTTTTTTTTAAATTAGTGTAGTATGTCCCAGTTTTTCTACATGATCAAAAAATTCAGTTAAAATAAAGTTAAAAGTCCAAACTCTACTCCCTACTTCATCTTTTCTAAAAACCATCCGGTCGGCCGGATTGGTCGTCCTGGCTGATTTTGGACACTGGGCCTTATGTTTGACACCCCTGATTTCTACGTGTTTAAACTTGTGGTTGTAAAGTCAAAGTATGACAAGTTAGTGGCTCTCAGAGTGACTGGAACTGTCTTAATAAGACTATAACTGAAAAGAAAATCAGTCAAGTTGTCAGACAAGAGAGGTTAGAAATCTTTGAAACAAACCGGAACAATCAGAGGTCAAAGCAGACTCACAAATGCTGCACGGACTGTTAGATAGGTTAACTGTATGTCCAACGAGGGAAGAGGGAATCTAGAGTCAAAGGGCGGGACCAGATGGTTTTCCTGTTGATCTGCATTAAAACATCTTTGATATTTAAATTATCAAATGAAATAAATTGTTTCTAAATGCTTTTTAAAATGAGAGCCTTCCATATTTCATGAGTGTTGCCCTGTTTTTAACCAGGCAAAAATCTGAGGCCAACAAATTTCCAATTTGTTCCAAATTTGTTAAATTCATCTTCGTCCACTTTTCCACTTCGGGGTCGGTCAGCTGTCGTAAGGCAAAAGGCAGCGTACACACTGGACAGGTCGCCACTATCACAGAGCTAACACACACAGTGAGCCGAACACACTCTCGTCCAGTTTAGAATTCCCAATTAAAGTATAAACCCATGAGAGAAAAAGTCTGTAGAAATAACTACAGTGATTTTGGTTGCTTTATTTTTTTCTCCCTGAAGGCCAAAATATGCCGGTCCTAACTCAACGGTCTCATTTATCTAGGACAAGGATTACACTAGCTCGTGACACTGGTTACCAAATTTGAGATACAGGACTTCAACCTTTAGGCCAGGGGAAGTCCTGCAGTGGCAAAAAGCTCAGAACTGAACTGGGTGGAGGTTAGGAATGATGAAATGTTAGGCACTGGACAAGAAAAAAGATGTCCAGAAAGGTCAAAGATGGAATTCTATGCTGTGAAACATGAATGAACTAAGGAAAATAGCTTTTTAAGTATCTTTGTATTTTAGCTCTAATTAAGAAAATTTGTTCTGTTAAAGTAAAAATTACAAAAAAAAAAGAAGCTGAACTGGAAATAAAACATGTAACTGCTTATATAGAAACTTTTTGCAGCAAACATTTCAATGTTTTACGTCACCAG